GATAGCCGCATAAGTTGAATAAGTCACAGTACTCATAGAACAGACCGTGGCTCATCAAGACCAACACTAGCATCTAATGCAGTTGTAATAGGAGTCATTTTGCAAATTTCCGATGTACTGACTGTACAATAATTTCACGGTTACTGCGAAGTTGAGGCTTTGTGACTAAGGTGACAAGAGCGTGGCAAAAGCCCTGTGGTTTTGGTAACAATTTGTTATTTTATTTTTATTTTAATGTACTTCGATTTTTGTGTCATTCTCCCTAGAACTTAGACACTGTCACTAATATTTGACTTAAGGTCCTATGTCCCCTAGATGGGGCAGAGGGTGTCCACAACAGTCCTCCATCGCTTTCGTTCTTGAGCTTATCGCGTTTGATCTCGCTCCAGGTCTTGCTGATTTTCTTAGACTCGTCTGTTGCAGTGCGCTACACTAATAATTGCGATGGACATCGCTGTGTGACAGGGTGGCACTGCTCAGTTTACTTTCACTTTCATTGTATGTTTTATGTCACCTATGTCTTATTTGCTTTTTTTTCTATTATTTACATCTTTTGTCTTCTGTGATGTCCATGGCAATAAATGTTTCTTTCTTTCTTTCTTTCTTTCTAATATTAGATTACTGTAATTTTCCTTTAAAATTCTCGTCTCTTCATTGAAACCCCAATCAATATCTTGCCGTTAATTGGTAATTATATTTAAGTTGTTTTGTTGTTTGTTCTTTTCTACTATTTCTAGTTTTCTTTAGATAATTCTTGACATCTGGTCACCCTGTCTATGGCCCAGTCCTTTAGTGCCTACACGTGTTCTAGACGGTCATTTGCGATATGAAGCCGCTTTCCAAGTAGTTTAATAGGGTAGTTACGCAATCATATGATTCACGCCTTGTTTAATATTCACACTTTTGGGATTTATAGTTTTCTATTTAATACCCGTCTTTAAGATGGAGAAAGATAGAATCTTTGAAACAAAATAATAATAATAAATAGTTTATTTCCAAACCATAACACTAATACAGCTTACATAAGTATTACTTTCGTGATCTTCATGACGAAGATTAAATGAACGACGACCACTTTAACGACACAAATGTAACACAAGAATGCTCATTTCACAAATAATTCCTGTTCAGTTCGTTTGTATTAAAGTCAGGTTACTTAAGGTCCTATGTCCCCTAGATGGGGCAGAGGGCGTCCACAACAGTCCTCCATCGCGTTCGGTCTTGAGCTTCGCGTTTTATCTCACTTCAGGTCTTGCCGATTTTCTTCTAAAGTCTACGTCTGGAAAGTCAGGTTGTAAACACCATATTATGTAGATACGAGTATAAACTCTTCACTGGCAATAAGTAGAAAAAGGTAATTACTCAAAACGTGCAGTCTAGACGTGTTAAATTTTATTTACCTAGCTTTTAATGCTCCCAGTTTATTAATTACTGGTTGAATCAGATCGGTGCTAAGATTAAAGTTAGCAAATCGTTTTACTAACCCACAGGGGACTTGTATATAAAATCAGTAATTACACAACACTAGGTCATCAAACCTGCGACCTAACGACCTCAGATTAAGGGCGCGAATCGCGATTGAATTTTTAAATATTTTTGCTTCCAACAACTGGGCCCACTCTTAAGATTCTAGAGTAGATTTTTGTTGATTTGGTGTTTAATTTATTAATAAAAACATTGAAGGTGGGCTCAGTTACCGGGAAAAAAAATATTCACAGAATCCAGTGACTTGGCCCGTGGACCAAGCTAAAAGTGGGCTAAGTCACTGGAAAACTCTACAACACTAGGTCATCAAACCTGCGACCTAACGACCTCAGATTAAGGGTGCGAGTCGCGATCGCGTGACCCCGTTCACAGTAAGCTTTAAAAAGATACGAAATTTGCGCTCAGCAGGAATTTACGAAGCACAGCATACTTGTACCTACTTTGCTTCTTTTGCGTTGGCTGCGCTTAAAACGTGCCAAGTTAGGGCTCCTACCCATTGAGGACATCCCGTTTATGCAGATACTTTTTTTTGCAGGATCTGAATACTAAGTATTCACACGCACACTACTTGCAGTGCCCCGCAAAAAACCAATCCGTTCGAAATGTGGAATTCGGTTCTGTTATTAAACTGGACCAGTGTAAAAACACCATACAGTTTAATTACAAGTGTTCCCACTAGCAGCTCCTGCATATTTGTTTTGCAAACACCCGTAGGTACCTGCCAAAAACGTGTCGTACTGTCGTGTGAACTCCAGTTTTGCGAGTTCCAGCAATGCAAGATCCTGCAAAACGGGATTGCAAGTAAGGGCAGTGATTAGCCTAACGTACTGTTGTCTCTACAAGTACAGTTTGCGTCGATACACCTTATTGCGAACTTTTTGGCTACTTTGGGTGTCAAGAACTAATAGACGCTAACTGTACATGTACGTATGCGCTGGCTAAGCTAAAAAAGTGCCAAGTAAGTTTGTGCAGCGTTTTTTTGTGAGCCAGATAACTGCTCGTGGGAGGTTGTATCAACTACCGTAGGATGAAACCTGCCCGCCTTATCCCGCCTTTAGAATGAAGAGCACGTGTCTATTTCATTATGTTTTATTGTATAGATGACGGGACATAAAGTTGAATACTGTGGGATTTTACGTCGTTTTAATAGGTGCCATTTTGTATAATTAAAGTACATATTCTATGATAAATAATAAATACCAGTATAATATCTATATCTATTTTAACTCAGCGTATAATTTGTTTTCGTCTATGTATGGTAAAAAGTTAATGAATACAAGCTTTCGAGCTTTCTAGTTCGGTGTCTTGCTTTCTGAATCATTATTATCAAAGAGAGAAATGTATATTGAAATCAGATTAACTCTTTGTAACTTTGAAATTGAAATTAATATTCCACTCTCCATTGGAACTCCGAAATCCTGCCAATCAATTTATATCGTTAATTGCTCTTCCGTATCCATTTCCATAAAGAAAGTCATTAAATCAGGAAGCATGGAGTCTAATTTATATAGATACGAGTATTTTGCGATATTATAATGTTTCGCAAGTGATTTTATTAACACGCTTGTTTGATCTCAATGAACAGCTCGATAATATCAAAAACACGGCAGAGCTCAGGCCAAGTTTTAAGTTTCTCATGTTTGTAGGTACTACCTATTTAAGTCACCAACAAGTCGGGATAGTAAGTGCACCTTAAGTAGGCACCAGGTGTCCTGCCTAATGGCTTGAGAAAATCTACTACGAAATAACCCTTACTAAGTTACTTCGGCTTATATCATAAGCTTGGCTGGAAAGTTGTTTTGAGTCAGTTGTCCAATGATAACTTTATTAGACTCTGAACTTGGAGGTTCTGAGTTCATTCCCAAATAGGACACAAAAAGTGCTAAATCATATTGTTTGTTTATCAAGCTTTGATCCAACCTATTCTAACAATTTGTCTAGAAGAAAAGGCCTATTGGCATATCAATGACAAGCGTAGTTATATCAAAACGTCCATTGCGGCTCATTTAGTCTTTCACTAGGGTTGTGATCTCAGTTCTTCCAACAAAGAAGATAACCTTCCATGAAGAATGCCTATGCCTGAAGAGGCTTTACCGCAACATCACAATTCACAAATCATATATTAAACAAGCAGCAGTGTTGTGTGTCGCGGTATAAAACCGCAGGCACCGCAGCCTTCGGCATTTCGCACGTGATTGCTTCTCGACGAGATGTGCTCGACTATTGTAACTATTACAGTTTATACATGAAACTGTTTTTGTAATCTCCAATTTCTATTAAAAGTATGTATTACATAAAGGAAATGCTCGTCAGCGACATGGAAATGTAAAAACTGGTTTTGAATAAATCATATGTAAAAGTTTATATTACGATAATATTACTCGAATCTAATAATCCTGCTCATTTGCTCTCACGTGTTTCCCGTTAAAATTGTATAATGCGAATTCGCATTGGGCGTACTTTTATAGGCTGAATTATTTATTGTGCCAAAGTGGTCGTAAATACGTCACACTTAAAAATACTTTTATTTTCCAAAATATATGTAAAACACTAGGGAATATTATACTGTTCTTTATCTGCCTAAAAATTGTCTGTAAGACGTAACGAGAATGCCAACTAGATTGTGCTGTTTTTCTTTAACTTTTTACTGTGTAGAATAAAGAAAAACCTACCTAGTGCTATTTTGCATTTTAAATCAATCACACAGAGATCGATGCTGTCGCTTTTCCATTGTCTAAAACAGAGTAAGACTTCGTGAAAAGGTCGAAACGTAATTTCATATACAGTTCCCAAGGTCCGAAAGGCATTTCGGTATGTAGTTTCAACTTCACTCATACCACCCCCATGGTTGCAATGTTTGTCGCAAACCGCATAGACATAGCCTTCGCCTCCTCGCACGTGATCGCCGGTCATGCGGCGACCCTCGCCTACATCGGAAATTTCCCATTACCCCACGTCCTTGCCGGGGAAACGGAATTATGATGTCGGGGAAAATTGAAAGAGCTGACACAACTTTTAATTGCGACGTTTTAATTAGGATTATGCATGGTTTTACATAATTCGCCTTTTCATGTAGCAATTAATATGGCCACGCCTAAACGGCACGCTGAAATTGTAATTAATTACTGATACGCTTTCTGACATTAAACACTATTATGATGACAAAAACATTTCACCTTTAAGTTTCTATCTATTACAGTTGTTTCTATTCTACGAGAATAAGTGTACCACCTCGGTTTTCATTCACAATTACACAAATAAAGTGTTAATATGATACATAATGCATACCGTAACTTTAGCAACAATAGCTATGGCGGTCACAACGCGCGAAAAGTCACGTGTAATAGGCGTCCGCGAGGCAGTCACTGAACCTACCGAACAATACGGACGCGTAGCGGGTCAACAACTTCCTCTTCCGCTTTATACGAGCACGGCTCAGATTAATAACAAGTACTTATAGGGCTTATACTTATTATATTGCAAATAATAACCGTCTCCCTTTTGTTTTGTTACAGGAACAGTCGCGAAAACAAGAAGTCGCCGACCCCTCGAAACGCCACAACCCAAGACTGAAAATTCACTGCCGTCTTCCAGAGTATCTCCTAAGAGTGCTTTTAATTTATCCTTCGGCATTAAGTCGTCTCTTCTCAAATCTCCTAACGCTCCCTCCACTAACAAACCCACGGAGAGTCGTCGCAGTTCAGATACTGGCACCAAACCTAGTTGTATACCATTGAAAAAGTCTGCCGAGAAACATTCTCGCACCTCTACGTCACCCCTAAAGCAAGATTTATCGAAACCAGATTCAAAAACCAAGTTGGAGTCGCCGAGAAGAAATACAACACGCAGAAGCCCCGATAAGGCAAAAAGTGACACAGAAAACAACCGAATCGACAGAAGACATCGAGTTCAGAAAGATACTGAAAGTGTTAGCGAAAAATATCATAATTCAAAGAAAAGACTGACTAGTTTAGAAAATAATTCTCCAAGAGATACGAACGACGCTAGCCACGTTTCGTCTAAAAATGTATTGAAGAATAATACCGGATCGAATAAATCTGATGCTATCGTTGGTGGCTTGGTAGAGGAAAATAAAGACGCAAAAATGTTGTCTACGTTACATGAAACTGTTAGACCACATGCGAGTAATTCCAGACTTTCGCAAGAGATGGACAGCTTGGCTGCGTTGACCAAACAGACATTAGATAGGGTTAACAAATTGTCGAATAACTTAACTAGTAATAAGTTAACTGTAGACACACCTGAACAACGTTTTGACTCTTTATTCGGATCTAATAATGAACAAAGATTAAATAATCATAACTATAATTACGGTCTTACCAATGAGAGACCAGCTCAATCCAGAGGAGTCACTGAAAGGCTGAAGGATATAGACACAGCAGCTCAGAGACTTATCGACTTTGAAAAGCAAAGTGCAATGTTTTCTGATCTCAATAACGATACGTCTAGTCAAAACCGTCGTCTTGATACTTCGTCGACGTCCTGTAGTCATACGCCCGTGTCTATTTTAAAACGCAAATCTATTCATGAAGATAGCGTATTATCGAATGCTTCAAACCATGCTATAGCTTCTCCCCCTGTTACATTTTCCCCGAGCGTGGTAGAACCACGGAGCTGCCGTTTAGATAATAGGCAGCGTCAAGGAATACTGAAAAAACGCCGTAGTTTGGATGAGTCTCAAGTTGCTAGGAGGAGGTCGTGTAGTCCAGAAGTTTCATTTGCCGAAGATGGCTCTATCGACACAAACAAACCAATTTTGAAAAATAGAAGATCATCATTAGAAGATGTTGTTAGAAACAGATCACCAGATGGCCAAATTCAAGGCATATTAAAACGAAAGATGAGTAGAGAAGAAGAGCTTACTAATGAAGACATATCACACGGCTCCCCGGAGCCTCATGGTATTTTAAAGCGCAAATCTAATTCCAGCTCCAGTAGCAGCACTACTTCTTCTCACGTTTCTATTGCTCAAGCTGTTCTTTTAGCAGCCGCAGGCGGCGCTGAATTAGTTGAAGACGATAAGGAAATCGTCAGACCAATTTTAAAGAAAAAGAGCTTTTCTGAAGAACGACCTTGTCTTGAAGTTTTACCACCTGATACACCTAAGCCAATTCTAAAGAAAAAATCTACTGAACATGATGATCACGATTTTGATCTTCCTAAAAAACCAATACTTAAATCTTCGAAAAAACTATCTGGCGATGAAGGACACGCTTCTAGTTTCGATATGAGCGAAGACGACAGAAGCTCGCGAAGACCTTCACTCCTCAGATCACGGACATCTGACCATTCCGGCTCGGAGTGCGAAGCGACGGTTAAGCCTATTTTAAAGCAGAGAGGGTCAAGTCTCACCAGGGAACGTAGCCAATCCCCGCGCCCACGGCTCTCATTTTGCGCAGACAGCGATGCGAACATTAGTGTGACGAATATCAGTTGCGACGCGAGCGACTTACCCGCGGCTGGACCGCGCCGTACGTTGAATCTCGCGGCTGACACGGAAGACAATTATCCGTGCGCTGTACTGCGCCGAAGAAATCTGCGCCCGAAATCGAATCCACGATCGAAAAGCTTAGTTTGTGATGTGAACGACGAATTGCTCTCAATACTTAATAATAGGAGGATAAAAGTGGAAGAAAATTGTGAAAACGGACACTGTGCGCCGTGGGAGCTCGGCAACCGGGACGAAAGTAACGGTGATGACAAACCGAAGACGTTTCCATCGATTGCGGCGCGAATAAAAAGTATGGAGCAAGCTCTCACTAAGGATGTCCTGGCGAAGGAGCAACCGTCGACATCAAGGTCCAAGCCTCGTGATAAAGAGCGTTTCAAAACGCAGCCAATCACTGTGGACGAAATGCGCTCTGTTGCTTCCAGGTAAGAATGAATCACTGCATATTTACCTAGTTTTTGCCGCTTTCTGTAGAAATGTAACAATAAATTGGCCTGAAATAGATCTTATTGATAGACGTTATCCATTAATTCGCCCACAGTGCGTCGATACGTAGAGTTAATTTTTGTTTGTCCGCAATTCTTCATTGCCGGTCGAGTGGATTTCATAAATATGGCTTTTCTCGTGTAAAGGTGATTGCGCTCTGCTGATCCCGGTCGTGGAAGCCGCTTGGCCCGACGCCATTATTTTGATGGGCGGGCGTGTGGCGTGGGCCGGCACCGAATGTTTTGTTCTGAACACTGACCGTTTTGATGTTTCGGTTGCTTTCCTCAATACAGATTCCTTTGTGATTCGTGTTAACAAAATACAGTATTTTGAACTACTCGCCCGTTACATGTGCGAACGTCACACTAACATTTGCCGCACGCGGGATGCTAACCCGCTACCGCTGCTGGTCTATCCGCTCCGTTATAGACTGGGTTGTATTTTTTCTTGTTTAAATAAACCATTCAAATTAATGAAAAGCATATAAAGCAGCAGTGTAACAAGAATAAAATGTTTCTTTTTCCAGTAAATCTCAATTTACGAAGCTTACAATAAATATTCAAACCTAATCCATTCTGCGTGAGATTTGCTTAATCCGGCCAAAGTACTGAATTTGAAAGTTAATCCTTTAAATTTAATGCCGATCCCCTAACCATTTTTACACAATTAGCTATTCATGAAGTTGGTTAGCAGAATTTGCGTTAATTCTACATAATGTTCTAGTCCCTGACATCACCGCTGAATCCTACAGTTTGAGTCATGTTGCGTATGGTTGTACACGCGTAAGAATTAATTTTGGCTAGCTTTTGTTTATTCCGTAGAGGACAGCTGGTGTTTTGTTTGGTGACAAGATGCATAAATTGGATTGCAAATATTTGAACCAACTTGGCGAATGGTACGTTACCCGTTATGTTACCAAAACTGCACCAATATTTGGGTCAGCATGTCCATTCCAGACTATGCGCTCCGTTTTGTGCATTTAGGTCACGTGAGCTAAAATAATAAGCGATACCCATTTGTGCAATTAACAAGCGAGTCCATATCCATTTTACGTGGAACCCTTATCGTTAAAAGTAAACGTTTTGAGAACGCAAGCTAATCACTTTCCCTTTGATAGAACATAATCTCGTAAATGCTTCCTTTCAGGAAACGAGTTTGATAGTTATTTCATAACTATCATAAAGTTTACTAACGTAATTTGGAACAGATTGCACGTTGCATACGCTTTTATGTTTATCAGACACTTTGAGATGTCTCGTAAAAAAATAAAGCAGCAGATTCTATGAAAAGTTTTGCCATTTGTTTATAGTGTTTTTGGAAAGAAGCCAATTTTTTTCTTGTGCGCCCTTAGGACCACGAGCTGACCTAAAAAGTGCAGTATTTATTTGCTGATTCATTTTTAAAGTTCGGGAACGTATTCTGAGCTTAAGTTACACGAAAACTGCATCAGAATAATCTTCCACAACAGTTGCAATAAAAGCTCCGTAAATCTTTACCTTAGTATTTTAATGATATCTACAATGTGTTTTTATTATAAACTGGCTTTAAATTACCTACCTTGATAGAACAAGCATGCACCTTTTCTGATTTCAGCATGAAAATCAATTCTCCTTCGAAACCATACATTTGATTTACTCGATATAACGATTGAATTTCCAATTTAAACCGTCCTAAAATCTGAGAGCATTGCAATGGAAAATGAAATGCAATGTCATTTACGCGGCTTCTGACCATTGATTGTAGTTCGCTGGAACTCGACAATCGTTGACAGGGCTTTGTATGTTGTGTTCATATTTGAACAGTTAATTATTCAATATCAAAGTTACATAGACTGTTTTAACATTCGGTTATAAGACAATCGTATTAATCGATAGATTAATCACCATGGTGATTAACATCGGAGCTTGAGACGGGAGCATGACGGAAATACGTACTCCAGCCGTTACTGGGTCAAAAACTATTTCTGGATGTGTTGTACTTCGGCTCGCATCGTGTTTTATTGCGGCTACGGTGATAGTGAATATGATCCTATCTACCTATTGGTATTGCAAATTGTATTTTGGGAATAAGTTTTAGAGTGGAAATTTAGAGCCACTTACAACTGCACTTACTAATGTTTATTGAAAACATTACCTACTCTGGATCATTTATGTTTGTGTCTGCTTTGTGACTTATGGGTCAAATCGCTTTATGTTGTTGACTTGTCATCATCGTTTGATATCTATTGATTCATTTTTATTTTGATAAATTTTATGAAAGTTTCGTCTTTTCCATTGGTTCATTTTGTATGAACAACTTTTCTCTCATAAAGATTAACTTAAATCATCTGTCACGCTTAGCTATAGGATCATACATCACATCATAATGGATGTTAATTCGCTGTGTCATTCCTTTGGCCATTACTTATTAACAAATAAGGCTATGCATTAAACTTATCAGGGTTAATTGAGCATATTCCCACTTCTCGTTCCTACCAGTGTGACACTGTACAGCAAGGCTTTTATTTAATAAATAAACTTTTCCCGTTCCATTTTTTCCTACGCTGTTGTTCATCTGCCCTTAATAGCGTAGATTTGAAACCAGCTGACGCCGTCCATCTTGCGAGAACAGTTTTAGGACCACGTTCAGTTTTACGACTTTGTCCCTATTAAGTTTATCTTGAGAAATTGCATTGGACTAGTTCCATTCAAGCGTTTTCAAGAGCCTTGCACAATGTTCTGTACTTTAAGTACTCAAACAAAATTAGTACCTATTTGAAATACATAAGACTATTTTTAACTTCGATTATTTGTTTTCGTTTTTAACGCACCGAAATGTGATAGCAAGATTAATGGCTAAAACACCACCAATCGTAAACACTGCACAGGCTTTAGAGTATCGATAAATCTTGATCAAAGATCGATAGATAACTTTAGTATCGAGAGCAGACAATTATATTTAGATTATATTGCCGATACTGTCAAACTTCCTAAACGATAGATTGGCGACGCCGCTCCAATCACTCATGCCATAACTCATCGAAATTTATGAAGGCGCACTGAAAAGGTTTCCATCTCTTTCTTATGTACGGCTGTGTTCTACATTGACGCGCTTCTTTTCTCATTTCGCAGTTTGGATCCGGGCCAAGCGAGTTTCCAACCGTTCGCCACAGCGGACTGTAGTTTTACGAAACGCCCCGTCGAGTCCGGTGCTGCTGCACCCAGGAGCCTCGGAGCGACGGAACCCGAGCGGGACCCGTTTGTTGACTTCGCGCAGAACTTGGATTCGCCACCTTTTGGCACCAGCTCCTTTAGTGTCAAATCTCCCGCCACCAACGGAGAACTACCGGCCGTCAAGGACGAAAGCTACGGCGAGGCCACCTTTCTAGATTTCGAAAACATCGTCGCGAACGCCGAAAGAAAACAGTCGACGTTGGACGAGATCGAACAAGAGGTGAACAAGGTCCGAGTGGCTTTGGATGAGGACTGCCGAGCCTTGGAGGAGGACGAGAGGCAACAGGCCGAAGCCGACAACTGGAGTCTAAATGTGTCTTGTGATAGCGGAGTGTACAACCGCGCTTCGTCCAGGGATTCCGGTCCGCATTCTGGTGAGTTCACTCCCGGAATTATTAATCACTTTTAAAACTTGCGAGTTATTTTCGAGTCAAGCAATAAATATAAGATGATTTCGCAATGTTTATATCGACCTATCAAAGCTGTACCAATGTCATGAAGTAAACATGTGGAAGTAATGAGATCGGGCGGGTTGCATTAACCGCGTTTTGTTTATGTTGCTTGGTAAAATTAGCTTTACTGAATGCGCCGCTATTCGTATTAGGATCGTTTTGAAAATAAACGTCGCAACCTTGCGAATGTCTCTAGACTTATTTGGGTCAATGTAATGCACGTGTTCTTTGTCAAACGGGTATTTGGATGCTTATTAAGCAATTTGATACGTTTTTTCGCGGCAAAAAAGTGTCATTGGTACAGTTAAATTTGAACCAAAAATTTGTGTCGGTTGTTATGTGATGACTGATGATTCAGACGTCCGTCAACCGTAATGTCATGGTCGGTTCCCTCCACATGGATTTCACGTAAATAAAGCGTTTATTGCTCTGTGAATCCAGTACGTGAATACCGTGTCCAATTAAATCCCGTGTTGTACATATTGAAACAATATTTGAACAGCTTGTTTTGTATCGAATTAACATGAACTCATTAACATACATATATTTTAAAGTTACGTTTGTATTTTCCAGGTGAAGAACTAGGATTGATCGAAAGCCAGGAGATCAGGGAGAATCACGCTACCAACAGCAGTGGGAACGACTGGTCTCCTTCGTCGATCGAGCGCGGGTTCCGAGTGATGGAGCGTGATAGGAAGTCTACTGAGAACGAATGCGTGCGAAGCCCTCAAGACCCGGGCAGCGATGATGAGGCCCCGGATAACAGCGTGGGGTTTGCTCTGGGGCTGGTCAAAAGCAACAGCGTGGTTGCCAGAGCCAGCATGTGGCAGCAGTTGCAGCAGCAGGCCAAAGGTACTTTCATTTGTTTCTTTTCTCACTGTCATTTGTTTTTGTTCATTCTCACCTGGCAAGGTGGTTCGCGAGCCAGATTAACTATGCCAGAGTATTATACATTTGTTATTCTTTTGTCATTTGTTTTTATTGATGGCCGCCTGGTCTGATGATGGTTCACGTGCCGCATTATTATGCCAGAGGTCGCGGGTTCGATCCCCGAGCAATAAAAACATTTGTGTACATGAACTCTGTCTCTATTGGTTTGGATGTTTCTATTAATATTTAAGTATGTTATTTCCTTTTTCTGGCCTCGCCATAGGAAAAGCTTGCTTAGTTTAGTACTAAATCTCTTTCTAAAAGTGAATTAAAACCAACTGCAGATGGTAACCACACCACTGATGTTTGCACTCACACTACGCATTTGTACCAAACAGCTTTTATACGTGGCAGCACTGTTGTGTAGCGCGTGCGTAGACAGATTTTATGAGTTTGTCCAGGTGTCTCCTTGCCTTCTGTTGTCGTTTACAACGCTCACTTTAAGTCTGAAGTTGGATGGAGTAGGTTAGGAGACAAGAATTAAAATGAATAATATTTTGAATATTGTAAACTTACAGTCCCATTTGTAAAGCACCGCTGCTATGAGAATATAACTTTTAAAAATTATTTAACATAGTTCTTCAGTGCTTGCCCGCCCTTCCCATGGTAAAGCAGTGATATACTTTTCAGTCGCAAGTATAGATAGTTAAATGCATACAAAACCATGTTAAAACTAAATTATAATAGACCGATGTTTATCAAGGACCTATTAGTTCAGCTATGGCTAGTGCCGGATACTGTTATACATTATAATAGTGTACCAGATCCAGTTTTATTTTCTGATTGACTAAGTACCGCTAAAATCAAATATTTGAAGCATTCAGGGTTTAAAATTGCTTGAAATTAGACGTTTCACTACTTTCAATGCTGACCATACACAGTATTACAATAGTACTTGCAAAGTTGCAAGTCAGCGTTTCGATATTCCATTTTCTTTATACATAAATCTATTCAGAATTACAGTTCAAGGCTACATAGGTTGAAATGTAATAATTATTTTGTATGGCACACACTGCCTAGGGAATTAGGTTCCTAAGTGTAATAGTAATAATGCTGTTATTTCCATGAAACACTGTAACGGTTCGTTAATTTTACGATCTTTGTACAGGGGAACACATCATACCATAGTTTAATGCATAATCGCACTTATTAACCCTTAACCAAGCTCTGGTATTCATAAAGCCCTTATCAATTTGAACTTTATGCTGTGAAGATACGTTAGAAAACCAATGACTTTTTTTAGCCTGGTTAAGGGTTAAAAGTTCATAATATGATTCTTCTGTACACAGTGCAATAATATTTTATTATTTTTAGGATCGGTTAAAAACCTCTATGGTGCGATCCATGATTACATACTAAGGAATTAAGAAGCTACAGATAAGTTAAATCAATAATTGTATCAAATCTCAGTATCATATTGGTTCTATCAAAATTCTTGTAGAAGCTGGAACTAATGGTCTATTACAGAATGAATCATGATACATGTAGACGTAGCTGTGTGGTTCGGGCAGAATAGAATCACCCCCACTCTTCCCGTGGATGTCGTAAGAGGCAGTTGAAAAAGAAATATGCTAAATGCTTTCCTTACTCGATTGGTCAGCGTGAAGAGTGTAGACCAAATCCTCTATTTGCCTCTGGTAAATTGGAAAGACGTATTCTTACAGTAGATACTAAATGATGACGTAAACAAGTCTGGACAACCGGCCATTGCTTATGTACGGCCAAGCCTCCCTCGACATTGCTATATATTTTTAGACAGTTGGCAGTAACGTGTTGTGTAATAATAAATATAGTTCCCGTATGTTATGTACTTGTGCTGTAATCGAGTTTATAGATTGTATCGGTTGTGTAAATTAGTCACACTGTTGATGATGCAGATCGATTCGATATTTATAGTAGCGGGGAATGAATAATTCGGTGGATCTAAATATATTTTTGTACTTGATAGTGGATCAATACAGCGATTGTATCTTGGTTGCCAATCATATTTGATATTAACTATGTAGTTCATCATATCATTAGGTTATTGTTACAGTAGGTTGATGCCTACTAGTGTTGTTTAAATAAGCTGAGCTGATTCAAATCTTGTATCTCCCTTCCAGTTAACGTTTTCTACTCTAATATGAATTCGTATTCAAGAAAAATTACCTTTCTCTGTAATGACTGCAAATATTAAATCGCTTTCTATCATCTAAAATGATTCTTAAGTACTATATTTATTATACGATACGAGTATAAGAGGTAAATTGAATTGGAGCACTAGTATGATTTACTATAAAATCGTGTATGTACTTACTTAATATTTTTCTCTCGTTTTCAGGAACGCCAAAGCCACTGATTCGTCACAGTCGCTCAAAGAATAAGGAGGGGCCATCCGTGACGGATCGCTTCAAAACACAACCGATCTCTTTCTCGTCACCCCCAGAGACCGCACCGGAAAGTCCCAAGGAAGATTTCTCTCTCGCTCAGTCCAAGAGCTCAGCTAATATGCTAGACAGGGACGAAGATGGTAAGATTTATTGTTGTTTCGTAGTCTGCTTTTATTTTTGACACAAATATCAAGTTAAATTATTTGATTTTTTTACTTTCATTATTATTTCAGACAATTTTGTAAACTCAGAGAGAAATTAGAAGCATGTAAATTGCATTTTGAACGGTAAATTGATAAACAGAAAGCTTCCTGTCTTTTGATTGTCGGCTTATGTTTCTTTTTTGCATGTCCTCGACTCTGTGTATGTCCGGGCTATAAACACAACTGCACAATGTTATGTAAATACGCACAAACTCACTGGTGGCAGCTAAGTTAGACGAAGACGATCCAGCTAAGATGTCGCTGAGTGAGAAGATGAAGATGTTCAACCAGAAGTTGACTCACAAACCTCCTGTGGCTGGTCTTCCTCGAGCTAAAGAAGAGAGGACCAGGACTTCCCGGTTGCGGACAATGCCAGTGCTCGCCAGCCACGTTCAAGAGGCAATGGAACAAAACGAGAGGTTGACCAAATCCCTGACTCATGAGGAAGTGCCACGTAATCCCGACTTCCAACTCAAAATGGAACTGTTCCGATCGGCCAGCGCTAAAAACACGTCGCTAGAGTATATGATGCGGCAGAACGCAAAGTTTAGAAGCTTAGGTCTGATTTTGTTGATTATTTCAGTTTGTCGTTTCCTTTGCTTGTCGTTGCTTGGGTTCAGCACTAATACAGTAATACCAAGGTAAGTTCGGAGTTTGCATGGAGTATTAATACCGCATGGAGTAAAGTTGGTGTCCGCCGAGGTTGTTTGAGAAGTTTGAGACCTGTCTTTTCTAAAAATCTAATCTTCGCTTGGTGTAATTTTTTTTTGGAAATTGGAGAGTTGAGTTCTTTGAATTGACTTCTCAGATGGGGTTCTCTTGAAATAATTACTTTAATTCCATGTTGTTTTTATTGTTTTCTAGACGTAACATTACTACGAGTTTTTAAGAGTTGTTAACCAAAGAAGTATAATATTAGTGGGTGGTGTAAAGCATAAGCAAACCAATTCTAACCATAATAATACTATGTCCGCACCAGTAGACTCTGGCTTAAAATAAATAAAGTTAAAAAAAATATTGTGCAACAGACTGGACTCGCTCAGTCATAGACGCTATGATGATGAGTTTGAGAATTTTCCATAGTCTATTGGGGCAGACTAATTACTAACTCAAGAATGATGTAATCAAACGCTAGATTAGAATTAAATTCCCACTCACCATATAACTGTAAGTATTACAGGCGAGGCAAAATGTGGTATCTTATGTAGTTGTAATAAGGGTGATTTTGCTACAAAAATGTAGTCTAATGTGCTGTTGTCTGTATTGCTATTGATATTTTCTAATCCCACTCGGTAAAGCTTTGGTTATCGCTATAACAGCACACTCATATTACCATGGGTTAGTTGCAACACCGAGTTAAATTTCTCATATCTCTCATCTCGGTACTTGATACTCGAATATTTATTTTGAGCTCACTCAGTCATATGCCCAATCTGTTTTAAATAAAATATAATTCCTTCTTGTGATCTATATACAGGGTGTTTCTTGTAAGGTGTCAAGCCGAAGGCAGGTGATAGGTGAGGACTAGACCTATTGATTTCACCCCCATGTATGTTCTACGATTTTTCATAGTTTAGAAGTTATCGTTAATTTTGTGATTTTTTCAAATTGTATGACCCAGTAGGCTTTAAATTTTTTTATCTTTTTTTTTGGGTCGACCTTTCTCAGATTTCTTTTTTTTGACAGATTCCCTATTAATTGCAGATTTTTGAAAAAAATTATCAACTTCCTATCTTTGATGCAAGATACAAAATTTTTGCTAGAAACATAAAAAATATGCTATTAGCGTAACATTCTAAAATTTTCAACTTAAAAGTTAAAAAAAAAAGAAATTCCATAGGTCCAAAATAATTTTAAAAACTGCGCAGTTTTCTGATCTTTCATAATAACACATAAAAACATGTACTTAATAGGCCATTATTTTCTGTAATCGCTTTTTTTGTGTTATTATGAAAGTTCAGAAAACTGCGCAGTTTTTAAAAATATTTTGGACCTATGGAAGTTCTCTTTTTTTTTAAACTTTTAAGTTGAAAATTTTAGAATGTTCCGCTAAAAGCATATTTTTTATGTTTCTAGCAAAAATTTTGTATCTTGCATCAAAGATAGGAAGTTGATAATTTTTTTCAAAAATCTGCAATTAATAGGGAATCTGTCAAAAAAAATAATTCTGAGAAACATTTAAAGCCTACTAGGTCATACAATTTGAAAAAATCACAAAATTAACGATAACTTCTAAACTATGAAAAATCGTAAAACATACATAGGGGTGAAATCGATAGGTCTAGTCCTCACCTATCACCTGCCTTCGGTTTGACACCTTACAAGAAACACCCTGTATATGAATGAAAGTTGCGGTGAATTTAAGAAGTTTAATTTGGGTTTTTTAATGTTGTTTATTTGGTTGTTTATGTCGTAAACGTAATACTTGGAAATTGGGAACATGAAATAAATATTCCTGTTTATTTTTTCTAGAATGGGTTCTTCGTTAACGAGTAAAAAGAAATTAATACTTTTTCCTGTTTATTATGAAACCAGTTCTTCGTGAGGAAGTAACCCCATGGCTTCCCATCAACTCCTTTTCGTATTTACAGGAAAATGTGGCCTATTATCAAGCAATTACAGTTACATCGTATAAAAATGTATATAGGCTGTATTTTAACGCTTGGATTGGGGTCTACTATACTTTCGTAAAAGCTGGCACGAACATACATAAATGTAATTACAGATTTCTGTGCTTAAAATTGATAGATAGGGCTGTGTCTTGTCATTCTTTAAAAATATGCTTTAAAATATTACGTGCCAGCTGTTATGAAAATTTGTACATAAATGTATCTCTGTGACAACACAACTTCGTTATTTTTGCAGGTTGTCTTATACATATTGTTTAATCTCGTGTTTTTTTTTAAAACTTTGTATTAAAATTTCTTCCATCCATAAGCCAAAAAGGCAAGCATTACTCTTGAGTAATCAAATCAAGACGTGGTTGTCACAGAAGTATTCATCGAAATCTTATGGTCAGCGGATTATTAGGAAACTACTCATTGAGATAATATGGCCATTAACTTTGTAAGAACAACTGTACTACTTTTTGACACCACTAGTTGGTTGATCTTTAAAAAATAACAGGGCGTAGAAGTGTCAGTGGGAAATAACATTTAAATGACTGTTGCGTTTAATTCGCTTTACTTTATAGAGGTTACCAATAAAATGCTTCAAATAATTTGAAATTAGATTTTAATTACCCAATAATTCACTGACCATAACATCTATAGCGTATAGTTATGGCGTTAAAATAATATCATTTATTATTGCAGACCTCGACGACGACTCGCCGGCCGAGAGAGTGCAGCGCATGATCACGCCCGAGGTGCGAGGCATCCTCAAGTCGGGCAGCACTGTGGTGCCGACCAAACCCAAGACGCTGGCCAAGGGAGAGAGTTCCGAGGTGCGTGCATATGTTAGTTCGCTTTTTTTCTTTTATTTTTCTTCTCTTTTTATTTTATTTGCAAATTAGTTACACGATATTCTTGGTGGTTTTAAAGTTTACGCAAAAGTGGCTATCTTTGGCGAAAATCGTCTATATTGTGTGTTGCATTTTTTCACAAACATCTACAATATTCCTGTAGACGTATCCTGGAATCATTAGACTCCAACATACATAAGAAATCTCCTTGAAATTATTTATCGATTTGTGCACATTCTTAGTTTTTTAATTAGACCCACTCTTGACTGGTTTGTATAATATTTTTTTGGCTAACATTTACCAAAAATTAATATTTATACATTTTATTACAGGGTCTCAAAGATGAAGGCATCGACAGCTCCTCGGATGACGAATCCGCTTCCGCGTCGAGCGTCTCTTCCTCAGAGAAGAGCTGTTCCTCATCAGACAGCTCGGACGAGATGCCCGGCCCAAAACCAAGGAGATTCCAGCGCAAAAACAACAAACTGAAATCTTCCAGAACCGACTCAGACCTCACCAGACTTCAAGACCAATACCCTCGTAAGATTCAGCTACCAGGAGCGAATGAACTCAAAGAGCGCTTAACGCAAGCCAAAAACCCCGAAGTGAAGCCGCTTCTCGCTAAACTCGTGAGAAAACCATCAGAGGAAGCGAAGAAAGAAGAGGATAACACTAGGTATCGCAGGTTCGTCAAGAAACTAGACGAACCGATCCAGTTGGGGAAGCTACGTAGGCCTCCAGAAAAGATAGCCGTGCCAAGCCAACCGGTCATGATGACCCAGGAGAAACCACCAACAGTACTAAAGATATCCGCGTTGAACCAAGAAGCGAAGAACAAGTTCTTTGGATTGGATGTGCCTAAGAAGGAGAAGACCATCGATGAACTGGCAGCCGCAGTGAGAAAATACATTCCACCAGTAAGTATACATTCTGACCAGTTATTTAAATAAAACCATTTCTTAAAAGTGACACTATTGGGATTATCCCACTCACTAGTGGGAATCATGATTTACGCTAGCGTCGATTTCGTTATTGAAAGACTGATGCGTCTCATAATTTGGCACATGAGAATGAGAGAGTTGATCTTTAATAGTTAACGATTTTGTGATGAAATCAACATTTCACCTCATACAAGTGATAATACTTCTTTCAGTATTAGCCAAACTTTCCATACAGCCTATAGTTACGAGAGTTTCTTCAAACATGTTACCAAGACAAAATATTTTTTTTTTCATTTCTCATTTGCTCCTGCACTTGTTTGATAAAAACTCAGTATGATCACAGAATAATAATAAGTACTACGTACAGAAGTTTTACTTCGCGATGGTATTTAAAAAAATGTATGCTCAATGTCATTAACAATATGGTGTAATTTAGCCTGTCTCAAGAGTCAAGCACCATTTTGTTGACAAACGTCAGTGATCGGCACTGCGCCGAAGCTATAGGGCTGACTTCGGTAAAATGATGTGACGTGAGGTGCCAAACTGCGGAAAATAGCGAAGGAAATACATGAGCATGAATTATCATGAAAAATATTACCTACTTATTTACCTCTCAGTGTCTTGAGGCAACTTAAAAAAGTACATTCTGTGTTTTTATTATTATGGGCATCTCTTCTAGAGCAACGGTGCTATGAATACCCAAAAAATTACCGGTGATTGATTTCCGATGTTTGATTGTTTAAGAATGAAATGTTTTTTGGTTTTTAATAGTGAACATTTAGAAAAACGTATAACTTGACTTAAATATGTTAAAAAATTAGTTACAAAAAATTTTTGTTAAATATGTTAAAAAATAGTTTTCATTTAATATGACATTTGTCGATATGTCCCAACACTAACATTTTTGTAACTCGAGATAACCTTGTAGAGACGTCGTTAATACTCTGGCTTGATTTTTATAATTTCGAATTACTTCTTATTGGTGTAATTTAACGCTGCATTTACACGAAATTATCATTTTTATTGGAAGCACTGTCGTCGAAAATATTGTTTGTAGGTCAGACGTGAATTATTTCTTGTCCGCTAATATTTAGCTCTCATTGAACGCTACTACAAAGTTATGTCGTTACTTTTGATGACATCTGTCATTCTAATCAAGCTATATTGGATAGACTATAGCAACTAATTCTACTTCAACTCCTTAGGTGAGCAAGTCGATGTCGATCCACACGATGGAAGTACCTGGCTCCGGCAGCGATGGCGAAAGCAGCGGAGGCCGCGAGGTTCGCCACATCAACACCAGAGTGCGCTACAGGTATGTGCTTTTTTTTGCTAGTGTTACGTTGAATGACTGAGGAAAGTCATAATTAGAGATGTTATGGATATGTAGTTCCGGTTATGGATACGTTTACGGATATAGGAATATTATTATACCGGTTTCGGTTACGGTTACAGATATTTTTCTATTTCGGATATCCGAAAGTTACGGTTACGTATATCTGTGCTTTAGAATGCAATTTGCAATAGTTGCACAATTCGGTTCATTCATGGCCGCACACATTACAGCGTATAAAAAAATAAAAATTGATACTAGATGGCATTATAAAGGTAAATCAGGCTGTTATGCCTTTACATTATAATGCTATACAAAAATCAATTTTTAAACTGCCTACATTCGAATCTATCCGAAACTTTGAATCGGTTACGGTTACGGTTTCGGATATTTTTTTATTTCGGATATCCGAAAGTTTCGGTTACGGTTACGGATATCCATAACATCCCTGGTCATAATCATGATCGATATCTAGCACGTAATTATTTTCTTATGCCGTGGTGCCAGCACAGTAGAATAAGCCCGTCTCCACTCTGCCCGCGGATGTCGTAATAGGCAAATAAATAAATAATAAATAAATATCCTTGGACATTTTACACTGCGCCTCTAGTCCCAAACTAAGCAAATCTTGTACTATGGGTACTAGACGACGGGATAAACATACTTAAATACTTTTGTAAATACATACATATTAATTATACATAGAAAACACCCAGACCCGTCACAGAAATTAAAATTCATCATTTCAATTTCTGCCCGGCCGGGAATCGAACCCGGGACCTCTCGGCATAGTAGTCCGTTCTGAACCACTACACCAAACTGCCGACAAATGAGTGAGAAATATGGGGACATGATCTTCCTTAACCCGTTCGGACAGCTTGAGGAGGGTAGGTCAAATCAACAATGATTTTCCTCTCGTAAATCAGAGAGGGTCGTCCTGCAGTGGACACTAAAATACCTGATGATGATTTTAGGATAATCACTTTCATTACAATATAAAAAAAAAACACGGGAAAATAGTTTTGACCCATAGCCTCCCTAAAAAGAACGTTCAGTTTATTACCTTCCTCAAATTAATACGAAAAAAAGATTTTTTTTTGACAATGTGGTTGCATTACATTGAAGCTGGTTTATTAATCCTGTTGGTAATTATTAGGTACTTACATTATAATTTAACTATTAATAATCGACCAAAAAACGAATTCAACCGTCGCAATCATGTTTCAGAAGTGGTTAGTAGCTAATTGAAACTTAATTAACTTGAAACAAGGTCAGAATTAGGAAATGTATCTCAACATTTAGTTAGTGTGGCACAACAATTGCACAGGGAAGCGTCTTTCCTAAAGCAATACCACGTTTATTGTAGACCACGACCTTGTGAAGAGGATTTGCAACAAAATGCACCGATTGCATTATAACAAAAAATACTATGTTAATAAATACTGGAAATACGTCTTTCTTACTAATTATGTATTTAATTGCAAACGATTTTAGTTATATTCTGTTCATAATATTAATACCAATCACTATATTCTTTTTTTCGTGTCATATAGCTGTTAAAGTAACTTGAAGTAATTTCAGTAAGGAATTCATAATTTTCTTTTACATTATACTAGGCTTATGGTAAACTTCATAGCACAGCTTTAAAACTCGTTATTGCTAGCGGTTACCTTACAATGTATCATAACATAATACTACACTCGCGAGCAAAACTATGGAATCACTTACATGAAGTTGTTTCCACGCGATCTTGTGTACTAACGAATTTGTTAGTAACAAAAAAAGTGGCAGCATTTTAAAGATTAAACTTTTACCTTTAAATTGATACCAAATTCATTTAAATCACACCAGTATTTAAAAAGATATCCCGGCTGATGTGAAGAAGTAAAGAAAAAGACATGTATAACTGTTTGATACGTCGCGACTTGCGGCCTACTTACCCCATATAAAACACGTGTTTTCGGATTTTTGCTTTCACACGTTGATCCATACACATCTCCGCTTTTTTTGACACTTTACCTGGGATTCTACACCTACAGAAGCAGCACAAATCGTTGCACTATTGCAAGAAGGGCTCAGCCAGCGGGCTGTCGCACGTCAGCTCCAAATAAGCCAGTCCTGGGTTTCGAAAGTTTTAAGACGCTTTCGGGAGACTGGTGGCTTTATCCCGAGACCAAGTTCTGAACAGCGCCGGTGCATATCGCAGAGGGATGATCGTTTTTTCATGTCAACCTCTCTATGAAATCATCATTTGAGTGGTATCGACTTCCAGCAAGAGCTCAGAAATGTTCGTAGGATAGCTGTTAGCGTGTGGACAGATCGTCTAAGATATAAGCAATAGAATTTGAATCCAAAAAGGCCTGCCACAGGCTCGAAACTGACGGCAGGTCACCGACAAGCACGCTTTCAATTAACTCGAACTTATTTTGATGGGTAGGCGAGTAATGGAGGCGAGTTTTGTTCTCCGATGAATGCAGACTGTGTTTGCAGTGCAGCAGTTGAAGAGGTCGGGTCTAAAGGCAGCCTAGGGAGCGATTTGTGCAGTGCTGGTTCGCTGAAACAGTGGCTTATGGGGGTGGCTTGCTCGACTTCCCATCGAGATGTGTACGAGCAAATTGAAAGCGTGCTTATCGGTGACCTGCCGTCAGTTTCGAGCCTGTGGCAGGCCTTTTTGGAGTCAAATTCTATTGCTTATATCTTAGACGAACTGTCCACACGCTAACAGCTATCCTACGAACATTTCTGAGCTCTTGCTGGACGTCGATACCACTCAAATGATGATTTCATAGAGAGGTTGACATGAAAAAACGGTCATCCTTTTGCGATGTGCACTGGCGCTGTTCAGAACTTGGTCTCGGGATAAAGCCACTAGTCTCCCGAAAGCGTCTTAAAACTTTCGAAACCCAGGACTGGCTTATGTGGAGCTGACATGCGACAGCCCGCTGGCTGATCCCTGCTTGCAATAGTGCAAGGATTTGTGCTGCTTCTGAAGGTGTAGAACCCCAGGTAAAGTGTCAAAAGAAGCTGAGATGTGTATGGATCAACGTGTGAAAGCAAAAATCCGAAAACACGTGCTTTTATAGGGGGTAAATGGGCCGCAACTTGCGACGTATCAAACAGTTGATACATGTCTTTGTCCTTACTTCTTCACATCAGCCGCGATATCTTTTTAAATACTGGTGTGATTTAAATGAATTTGGTATCAATTTAAAGGTAAAAGTTAAATCTTTAAAATGATGCCACTTTTTTTGTTACTAACAATTTCGTTAGTACACAAGATCGCGTGGAAACAACTTCATGTAAGTGATTCCATAGTTTTGCTCGCGAGTGTAGTTGGTGCATAATTTGCTCTCAAGCTTGCATATTACACAGTTGATGGCGCAAATAATAACCCAATGTTTACCTTGTTTTTTGAGAAACATTCAATTTTTTACCACGAGGCTTATCATCATGCATCAGCTCATTATAAATTCAAATCAGACGTATAATCTTTATAACTATCTCCGGTATCTGGATTTTTATGTCCGCAGTTTGAATTTTAAAACATGTATGTAGTTGTGGACAAATTACAAGAGGAGTTATTAAAAGCGCTGTTGAAGTTGTTTACTATACGATATCATAGTTTCTACATCCTAAAATTTTATAAAAAAAAAATAAAACCGACTCCAAAAAACCTACACTAAAAAGCAGAATAATAATTACTAATTACCTACTTATTTATTAGGACGAATTATTAATATTTATGTAGGTATACCATGATTGATACTTCTGGAGTCGCTGCCAAGATTATGAAAAAGGTAAAGTTTGCCTGCACCGACTCCAAAAGTATCAATCATGGTATACCTACATAAATATTAATAATTCGTTCTAATAAATAAGTAGGTAATTAGTAATTATTATTCTGCTTTTTAGTGTAGGTTTTTTGGAGTCGGTTTTAAAAAAAAAGATAAATCCGGTAGATTACTTTTCGAATTTAAACACCCGAACGCCGCACAATATTTCTTTCTCTTTATGTCCATTTTTAAATAATACTTCGATCATAGAATAATAATCATACTACTACAACGCACGCCACGCGCCAGCGTCCTGACGAGCGCGCGCGTGACACTCGACTGATATAATACCCGCCGGCGGGGCGCTTCGCTGTAGGTAATTATCGGATGTACCGCGCGGAGTGAGCCAGGCCTGACCATACTCTGGTATAAAGGTATATTCACATTCATGCGGGATATGCGCTGGCTGAGTAATCATAATCATAATCATTTATTGCTTCATAAGTGTACATAGGTGGTGATCTTAAACTTAGTCTCAACTTATGACCCTGTAAGGGTATTGCAAATCTTGTATCGTAGGTACATTACTAAATATTCTACAATAGTTAGTCTGTTATTTTCTCAGAAGGGATCATGAGATGGTGGCGCCATAGAGATATAGAAAGATGCCAACTAATGCGCAGAGTTCAAAACTCAGTGTCGCATTAGAAATTGACACATACAAAGTAATCAAAATATGTGCTCATTATCCGCTGCGGTATCAACTCAACGGTCGAATAATCTTTAGTATTACGCAAGCAATGTAAACTGTTTACATTAAGACGTCTGCAGCAATGTGTTCTGTTTTTGGGCATATTGCTGCGACACCGGCCCCGCCCCCTTGTCACATCTCCCTTTAATTTCTGTGATCTGTGGATGGCGCTCATGGTACACTTCGACCTTTATTGTCTCACATTTCTCATCGCATTGGTCCTTGAAGAAGTCCTCTGCTAATCTACCCCACACCCGAGAAGTATCACAAGTTATTTTAGTTCAAATAAAATAATAAAAGATGGTACTTTCAGGAAATCGGAGTAGGAGAAGAAAAATATTTTGGGCAAAGGTGCTAAGACTATTTAAGCTTTATAATAAGACTTATATCGTATTTTATTTAATTATTAGACTAATTATTATTAAAAAACAAGTATTTCAGGCTTAGAATATTTCTGA